GGGCAGTGTTTTGTTCTGCTGTGCATAAGGTCGCTATGGGTCAGTACCGACTCGATGGCACCTAACAACAACAACATAGGTCGGAAACAATTTGGTGGCACTTAACAATATATATATATAACTTTTTGCTAACTTCCAAGTGAAAATGAATTGTTTTTGTTGTCATGAAAAAAGCTATATCCCTTATCCAGCCATTCCACCCTCCCACTTCTGCCTTTCAGGATATTATGGGATGTGGTGTGATCGATCTCCTACCTTGTTTACAAGATGGAAGACATAGAGAAGGCCCCCTGATTTGTGGTGGTGTCTTCAGGGGAGAAAAAGGAAGAGAAACTACAGAGGTTACAGACTACATCAATTCTTTCTCTTGGGATGGGACTGATACACATGATCCCAAATGGCCCACATCCCAACTCACTCAGGGCCTAGATCCCAGCATCCCCACGGCAGGTAAAACAGAATCTAAATTCTTGGGGCTTTCAGAAAATGGATTTGAGTGGAATGGCAATAGCAAAGGACCCAGAGTATCCTGGTAAAAGAAAACATTAGAAGAACAGCAGAGTTCTTCACATTTCCTTGTGGGGAGCCGCAACCTCACTGTGATCAGAAAAAAGCTAGTGCAGACTGGGTGAGTGCCCCCACCCAGCAGAGATCCCCACCCAGCAGCACAGGACATTTTAGCCACCAGCCGGGCAGGGCTGGCGGTGAAATGCCAGGCCTTCTTGGACATGCTGAGGCGGTGGATGCACAGCAGGAGAACCGTGTTTCAGTAGATACATGAGATTCCATCCTTTTGCCATAATCTGAACATTGGCCCAGTGTGGGCATGGTCCCAGATAACTGGGGAGGGAACGAGGGAACCCAGAGGAGTGGGGCTTCCCCTGGGGGCCATATTGTTGGCGCTTAAATGGAGTGGAGGAGAAGTTCAATATCTTAGCTAATGGGAGAATCCCAACAAACATGCCACACTCCACTGCCTAAAACGGTCCCGTGCATGCAAAGAATTTAGTCTGCCGGGCCATGAGAATGAAAGGTAAACCCACTATTTTAACATCTGGCACCAACCGAAGTGTCTCTTGGAGCATGGAATATCTTTGTATTGATAAAAACAGTCCTGAAGCCTTGGGGTATGGGATAGAAGTCACGAGAAGTAGCAGGAATTGAGGGGTGGAGATGTTGAGACCAGACACAGGGAGTGGGCTGAGTTGACTATACCTCAGTCTCACCTATCATCTGTTGCACAAGCAACCTGGAACCCCATGGAAACTTCCCTCCAAGACTTGCCATTTCCACCTCAAATGAGGAAGGTATCAGATGCCGAGGATCAGGTCTGTGTGATTCTCTTGTAGAATGTTCTAGGTTCTGGCAGCAACCTTCAAACTGGCTCCCTGGCCTCTGGTCTCTTCCCTCCCCACTTGTCCTTCTCACCATGGTCACAAGGTCACATTCATCTTTCTGGCCTGCCATAGAAAGTTGAGCCTCTCCAATCAGCTTTCAAAACTTCGGCAGTGTCATCTTCCCGTGCCTTGCTGATCTTCCTCCTTTCTGCCTCCCAACGTAGCTCCTAGTTCCTAGCTCCTAGCTGGCTACTCTCTGCCCAGCCCTCATTCTTTTGCAACCTGTTCCCTTGAATCTAAAATACTCTCTTCCTGGCCCTCACTGTCTGAGTCCTTTTCATCGCCTGAGGCCCAGATTAAGTTTCCTTCTCTATAAAATCTCATTCTAGCCGTACCAATACCACTTTGTCGTTGAGTGTCATCGAGTCGGTTCCAACCCATAGAGACCCTGTACAGGGTTTCTGAGGGTGTAAATCTTTATGGGAGCAGAAAGCCTCACCTTTCTCCTGTGGAGCAGTTGGTAGTTTCGAACTGCTGACCTTGCGGTTCACAGCCCGATTCATAACCATTACGCTACCAGAGCTCCTTACCACTAACGTGACTGAATTCCAACTATTTCCAACGAACTGGGAGTGATTCTGGAAGTACAAAGAAGGCCTTCCCACGCTCACACCCAGACCGTCCATCTCTAAACACCACCTCTCCAGCCTCTCCAGGTACATCCAGCTGATGTTTTCCACTGGACCCACACTTCTGAAGTTACAAGAGCTGTGGGCTTCTATAGAACCATCCTTACTAACCAGACTTGGGGTCCTGCCCAGACCCATATTTCTACTACCTAACCTGGAACTAAACCCAGATATCGCAGAGATCTCATCAGCTGACCAATGGTCAATGGGAGGACAATGGTTCTTGACCACAGAGTTAGCTTGGAGAAGCTGGCATGTGACTTCACGAGTCCTGGTAGCATAACAGTTAAGCACTTGGCTGCTAACAGAAAGGTCACAGTTCGATGCCACCAACTGCCCTCAGGAGAACGATGTGACAATCTGCTCCCATAAATATTACAGCCTAGGAAATCCTATGGGGCAGTTCTAAAAGGTCACAACCTTGAAACCCTATGAGTAGTTAGCTCTACTCTGTACACATGGAGGTGCCATGAGTTAAAACTGACTCAACAGTGACTGTTTTGTTTGATTTGAAAGACTTCCAGTCTCACCAGTTCATAAATGCCTTAGACTCCTTTATTAGAGATTCAGACTTTTGTTTTCAATTGAGAGAGAAGACTAAAAGTCAAACCCTAGGAAACGGGAGTCCTTGACAGACCACACAAGTTACAAAAGGTAACTCTTGGGGCCTTTCCTGGAGGATGTTTTGACAAGTGAAAAAGGTAAGAGGGAAGAATCTGAAGTTGTTGAGTGTGTTAAAGGAAGACAGACAATGAAAAAACCACCGTGAAAGGTTTTAAAAAAGACAGGCTGGCGCTCCAGGAACCAGCTTGGCTAACACCCCAGAGCCTAGTGGCTTTTCCCTGAAGGGACACTCAGGGGATGCATGGCAAAGAGGATGGGCATTTCATGTATTCTCTTTACCGTGGCCAATCATTCGAGAGAAAGACTTCCACAAGTAAGTCACTCGGCAGGGTAAGCGGTACAAGAAGGCAGGTACCCTGTTCTGCAGAAATGGACAAAATAGGATGTTATATCTGCTTGACATTGTAGCCTTCAAGCCATAGCCCATATTCTGAGTAAACTGTTGACATGGGGCCTGTAGACCCTACCCCTCAGTGGTTTCCACTGATACCTGTGGAGGTGCCAACCCATCAACCCCAGGAGGACCTAAGGGGAGTCTCCAATTGACCCTCCAGGGCCACACAGCCAAGTCACCAAGGACAATGTTTGCATCAAGAGGCAAAAGGCTGGGGTTTGAGAACCAGCTTTACCATAAAAAAACTCCACAACTTTGACCTGCTCACTGCATCTCTCCAGCCTCAGTTTTCCCTTTAGAAAACGAGGAGGTTGGGATTAGTTTGTGGTTGTTTATTTGCTTGCTTGTTTGTTTGTTGGGGAGGGGGTGACTGCAGAAACTTTGACTTAAATAGAATTGCACTCAGAATGTCTTTTGGTAAGAGGACTAAGAGTCAAAAAAGATGGGAACATGGTGGGCCAAAAACTACCATTCAGCTCCACTTAGTACAGTCTAGAAACATATGACTAGACCATGCCTAAAGCCCCTAAACATCTCTGAGAGTCCATGGTTCGGCTAACGTGTGCTCATGTTTTTCTATGTGTACGATATCTGTACATGCACATGCGTGGTGGAGGGAGAAGACCAAAAAACAGAGAGCAGTCCCTGCTCCCTGTGGGTTATATGAACATGAAGGATATGACACAAACACACACCCACAAGCACACACTCAAGTACTCATGCACAAGCACACATCAAACACACACAAAGCATGTCTACACAAACACACACACTTACACACACACTCACACAGAAACACACACTACCCATGTGCTGAGTCATGTGTGGGGTTGCTGGCTGGCCTGATATAGTCAGTCCCTGGAGAGTGTGCCGTGGCAAGCTCATAGCTCCCTTACATGCATGATCCCGTTTCTTCCTCCCCCCAGCCCAGTGAGCATGGCAAAAAAGGGGATTTATCACTTTTATTGTGATATTCAAGGAAACTTGGCCAAAGGTAGACGGCACATCAGTGGTGAAGCTGGTCCTAGACCCAGGTTTCCTGGTCCTAAGCATTGGTTCTCTAACACCAGGGGCTTTCAGGGATTCTGAGATCCAAATGAGGTTTTCTCATCCACAAAATCAAGGGGGAGGCTGAGGTTGACAGGAGGGCACAAGAAACGCCTGCCCAACACCTGGTCTGTCTTTAGCAGAAACCCCTTTCCTCTTAATATGCTATGGGCAGACCTGTCCTCTCCCCAGGGCCACAAGACAGCCTTGAGTTCAGAACCCCAGACCACTGTCCCAGACCATCCCCCAGCCCCCACCCCCACCAGGTGCATGGGTACTCACTTGCTGGTGAGGTGGAGTTTGGGAGAGAGCCCATTCTCTCCAAAAATGGTGATGAAGACGTTGGCATCTGTTCCTGCTCCCCGAACATCCCCAGTGGCCGTGACCACCTCATACACTGGAGTGGAAAAGAAGACAGGCTGTGGGCTCAGAAGAAACCCCAGGACCCTAACCAGGCCTGGGGAAGCCTGAGCTCCTGCCAAACCCTGGGAGGATGCCTAGTCCAGCAAAGACTCCAGAAACCATCTCCCTATACCTGCAGCCTCCTTCCAGGTCAGAGTCACACCAGGTTCCGCTGGGAGACCTCATTTAAGTGCATTCACTTTATACGTAAGGAGCCTATAGACAGAGGGACCAACCCAGGCCACACGCAGCTCAGTGTCAACACCAAATTCCAGACCAAGCCTACGAAATCCAATCTGTATTCTTTCCCACACACCACACGGTAATCTCCTGGGCATGGCTTTCTTCAGAACTCACACCTGGATCTCATCTGCCTGTCTGCCCGCAACAATGCCTGTCCTCACCTTCCACAGCCTCCTGGACATTGCCACTCCCATCTCAGAATAAACCATCCCAGGGCTGGGGTCTAGGATTTCCAGGAGCACTGATTT